GCTTTTTCTACGACGGCTGGGTTTCTACTGGCTGGATTTCCCATACGAAGTAATTTCAAGGAGGGCATCACTCCTAAGCACATGTGACGTAACAAGTGATCAATATTAATTGGTCACCTGCCCCGTTCCAGATTCGAGGGTCAAGGCAGGTCCGCCAGAGAGAATTTCTGGAGAAATGGAAATTCTCGTGATTCTTTCAGGTAGAGTACTTAACTTTATTAAAAATAAAGACAATAATGAAATATAAGAAAACAACAGTTATCCACAGTACTCGGTAAAGAATTTAACAACAGGAAATTTATCCAAGTATTCTTGGACACTCCAAACAGAACAGAGTTTCTTTAATAGGATAATAGTAATCAATGTAAAAATTAATATTGGATGGGAGAAGGATCCGACTGGGGAAAATTCTGCTGGAACCTGAAGGGTATTTATATTACTGTTCTCTCTCTCTCTTATTCGGGCCACACTACCTCACGCAACCAAGGGACAGGGCTAACCTTTACCGCTGGTAGGTTGTCCTGGAGCCAGCTCGGGATATGGTAAGGTCACAATGGTGCCTTCCAAATAGCGACTGACTCCAGGATCCAAGTCTCTGGCTAATATCCTCGGTACCTCTGGGAGGAGCCAGGGTACCTTCCTCAAAAATCCGAGATTCGGATTGGATATACGACTTGGCCCCCTGTTGTCCCATTGGCTACCTTTTCAGTGTTAGCCTCGACTTAATTTGTTTAAAGTCATCATGATGGTGTGACTTTCTCATTATCTTCATGGGTTTCGTTTTATGTGTTTGCCCCAGTCGGCTACAGGGTTGTCCCATCCTCCTGGTGACAACATACCATTATTCTTACTTAGAAATAAATTATGGATAATATTATGTATTTTTTCCTGTTTCCTCATGGAATGGTCAGTAATTACATCAAAAATTAAGTTATAAAACTCAAAACCATTTTCTTTAACATGTCATATAATAATTAACAATATATCATGAGACAGATAATTTCATGTAGGTTATGAAATAATTAACATTATTCCTCTTCATCACAACACACCATTATAAAGGGAAGAGAACGGTATGGAAAATATTAGAGTAGAAAAGGATGAGATTGCTGCAACTCTTTTTTTAACACCTCAGGAGGAGAACACAGAATATTTCCTCCTTCCTCTATTTTGTTATGTTTTTGCCTTTTAATCACCGTAAAATTCAGGTGCGTTTTTAGGGAAACAGAGAGTTCTTCCCGGTAGGCCTAGCAGGCGAAAAGGGTGGAAAACCCCATTATTCACACACATCTCCATTGCTCGCTTCCCAATTGCTCTGACAAAACCATTCTAATATTATTTTGAGTGTTTCCCGCTCACTAAGACAGATTTAAAATATAATGTAAAATGTTTCGCCTTCATCCAGGATGAAGGGGAAAAGCATGAGTATTTTGGATGCCTTTGTTTTGGCAGAACCGTATGATATACTCGTAGAGCAAAAAGCAGACTTCAACCTCATGGCGATCGTGGGCATCGCCCTGGGAGTTCCGGGTTTCATCCTGCTGATCGGCTCCGTCCTCGTCTACTGCCATTGCAGATCGGTAACGAAAGGAACACCCCCAAGCCCGTCCGGCCGAACAGACTCACCTGGGAACCAGCGAACAAATTCTTTTCAGCGAAAACCGCTGCAGGAAGTTCTTCGCGTCCGATGGCCAGATCCGGGGCGTCGTCAGTCCCCTCTTCGCGATCTAAGAGGTCCGCCAGTGCCTCAAGCTCCAAGTCTAAATCTTCGGTCGTTTCCTCTCAAAAGTCGGCTGCAACTTCCGGATCCAGGAAGTATCGATCCTCCTCTGCAAAATAGTGACATATCTCTATTTGGACCTTTAACGACCTCAGATGCTTTAAATAATCTTGCAAACTTTCACAAAGATGACTATAAAACCCGGATGGGATGTACCGTTCTCATTGGGAAGCTGAAAAATTGTGGGTGTAGTTATTATAGGGTGTCCTTTTTCATCATTTCCTCATATCCACCTAGGTCAGTTTCCATGATTGCATGACTGCCATGGTTCTCAAGACAAAGCTCAATTTAGTTGAAAGGATTTATTTGTTACTGTCCTTTTCTCCCAGGAATGGTTTGTATTCCGCTGGACTCGGGGAATACGATGCCCATCCCCATACCTCAATGAACAATTGGGAGAGCCTATCCGAGTTATTCGATGACTCTTATTGATGTTCCTTCACGTTCCTTCCTATTGAAATGTTTCTCTGTGTTTTAATACCTATATACCTGATCGTCCAGCTAGGATCCAGCCTTGAAGTGGTCAACAAGAGTGTAACAGTGGTTCCACACGCCTGCCACGTTTGCAACACAGCAGAAGGGAATCCTTGCAACGGATCTTACATCCAAAAGTGCGGAGTCGGAACAGACGGTTTGTCAGGTGCATGCACCACTACGTGGGACGCGCACGGGACTCCAATCAGCAGAGCCTGCAGTCATTGGGAAGCCGGAAAGGAAGCATGTTATTTAGGGGAAGGGAGGACCTGCACCTGCAGATGTCGAGGGGAGGTCTGCAATCATCCCATGCTCCCAGTCCCGCTCGGATGCCTTCAGCCGCGTGTCTTTCCAAGAGCCTGGAAGATTTACAAGTGCTGGGAAGGGAGGGGTTGGTGCACGGATTTCTTGGAACGGGGCGGGACGACTCTCAAGTACTGCCTCTCGTATTACGACGAGGAGAGCAATCTCGTCGACGTCCGGTGCTCCGGCGACCGGTTGACGAAGCCTCCTTTCCCGGAAACCAATAAAATAATTTGCTGGCAGGAAAGGATAAGCTGGCTGAAGAACAAGATGCACTGCGCGTGCGGCTGCAAGGCGCAAGGGTGCTTCGTCGGTTTCAAGCCGGATTGGCTGACGCAGTGCCGAAGCGATAATCTACCCGGAATCCGTGAGTTTTTCAGAACGCTTTGCTGATTTGCCGGACGAGGAATGTTCGAAATTGCAATTGAAGTGCCAGAGTGGAATTTCCTACTTGGCGGGTCTCGTGCGTTGGCTGAGACACTTCGCAAAATACTCTGCAAAACAATAGAAATTCCTCATTCGTCATCGCCATTTATTTGCTGAAATACTGAAAATAAGGGGTCTCGCCTCGGTTTTCGCCATCTCACATCGGGATCGGGAAACATTTTCTTTCTCGAATGTCTCGCAAGGTGTCTCGCCCGACACATGTCGATGCAACGTCGACCGGACAACGTCCGCGCTGTTCATATTTTCGACATTGCGTCCATGCCGACGACCGCATCATCCGCATCGACACATCGTCGGCGTCGAGTCACCGCCAGGCAGGGAAGCTGGACGGTGGAGGCTTGTCTCACGTGGGAAGAGACGCTGATTTTTAATTCTTGCTCAGGTTTATTTCCTTCCTTATAGTGACTTCGTATATCGCGGGGGGGGGGGGGGATCTTTACTGTTTTAGTCCCAGAGTAGCATGAAGTAGTAGAAGTACAGTGGTACCTCGCATAACGAACGCAATTCGTTCGTTATGCGAGGTGTTCGTTATGCGAAACACGATTTCCCATAGACGTCTAAAATTAGGAAAAAATGTTTCACTTTCACTCGCGAACACCTCGCATAACGAACGCTCCGCTGGAACGAATTGCGTTCGTTATGCGAGGTACCACTGTACTTCAACACCGCATCGTCTCGTCATTTCTCAATTTTTAAGAATTTTTATAAGGTCATACGCCAATTCTAGTGTCGAAATTATTGAAACTTGACTCTCCTCGGTTGTTTCTCGCAAGGACTTGCAAACTTGATGATGGTACGTGTTTTTTTTTTGGCATGTGCCAATGCGGTCCCTCTCCTTGCAGAACCGGGGGACGAAATCGTGAATCTGCAGAATGACTCGGATCCGATGGGGATCGTGGCCGTCGTCCTTGGGGTGCTGGGGGGGATCCTGCTAGTTGGTTCCGTCGTCGTCGCCGTCTGCTGCTGCAGCACCGGGGCCAGAGGGAAAGCCCCGCCGCCACTCCGGCCGGGCCCAGCCCCCTGGAAGCCTGCAGCAAAAGCCTCTTCAGCTAAAGTTTCTTCAGCGAAAACGGCTTCAGCAAAAATGTCTTCGGCGAAAACGTCCTCAGCAAAAACGTCTTCAGCAAGAGCCTCTTCAGCAAGAAGTTCCTCGACCAGATCAGGGACTTCCTCATCCTCCTGGCGGTCGAAGAGCACCGCCAGCGTCCCGAGCTCTTCCAAGTCTTCCTCAGGGAAATCCGGTTCCTCCGCCTGGAGGTGAAGAACTTCCTCTCGAGGCTGAGGCCGCGGATTCGTCGACTCTGACGTTTCGTCGCGACGAGAAGACATTAAAACGCACCTGGCGGGGCATTTCATTTTCCTATTTTTATTTTTTTTCTCTGACGGATCGCGAATTCGCGAGTGAAACTTCGCTGAAACCTACGGAAAATTGCATTTAATTAAATTTGTTTCAAGTTCGACTGATGATACGTACGTCGTTCATCGTTAATGCGCTGAAGCCCGATTTCTTCTGTTTGATTTCACGAGGAAAATGTTTAGTTTTCATCCCTGATGAGCGGGATTCCGGAATTTCCCGTCGGGATTTTTTTTTTCCGGTCTCGAAATCGGGGAAGGTCCGGGAAAAGTCTTTCGACAAAATCTCAATTCCAGGAAAAAAAAATTTGTTTTTCCCTTGGATCGTTCTGCGAATCGGGGAAAACAGCGTGGTGGGAACCATGCCAGATGATTTTAATTTCGCGAATTTAGAAATTGCATTGTTTGGAACCCTATAAATTTTTAGGGTGGGGGGGGGGGGCGCGTCGGTCATTTTCATAGAAAAAAAATTTTTGCTAAAACTCCATCGGCGCGAGGCGAAATCGAAACCGCCGACTTTTTCATTCGAACAAGAAATCATTCCCGAATGCTGACTCATCCGCGTCGGTTTTCTCGCGAAAATCGTGCGACCGGAGGCACCTGCGTGCTTGGAGATGCTGGCTTTATAAGCCGGCGGAACGGAATGGACGGTCACTTCTCAAACAGCCAACTCGGTTTCATCATGGTGAGGTCCTTCGATATTCCTTTTTTTTTTTTTTTAAATATATATTTATGTATAGTGATTTAATTTGTAATTTATTCGCAGTTTCTTTGGGCGATTGTGGGTCTGTTCCTCGGCGGGGCCCTGGGCCAGGACTGCGGCGGGATCCTCACCGACTGGCATGGGGTCGTCTCCTCGCCCGGTTACCCGAGCCATTACCCGCCCGATGCGGTTTGCACCTGGAAGATTCGAGTAAGTTCGCGATTCCTATCGACTACGCCTCTGGGTGTATCAATACTTTCGTGGCGAAGTGTTTCAAGTATTACTTGAGATACACTACCATTATTATTATACTAGTAGTAATTAATGTTTAGTTGCCTTTTAAATTATGAAACGTATTTAATTTGGAACGAGGCGGATGTCCCTCAGGCGTAATTCCACCTGTTGGAGCGTTATCCAACCGGGGGAAAATCCACCTAGCTCGAAATACATGTGCGTTAATGGCTAGATGGATTTCCACCGGGTGGAACGTCCACTTGGTTCCAAATCCGCCTGGTCCTAGGATCAGGTGGATGCGTGTGGACGTTTTGTAAAGGGCAGAATGTTTTTAATTCCATCAACTTCTTTCCGAATTTCATTAAGAAAGAAGGTGACAGTCGTGTCAACATGACACAATTCGGGTAAGAATCCTCCTGAAAAAAGTTGATGTCCTCAGATCGTGCTGCGCATAATGATTCGCCAGTCGTGCTCCTCATCTCTTTGCCTCGCGGGGTTTCATTTCGCCGGGCAAATATCGATTCAAGAACTTGAAGCATGGATTTGAGTTGTGCGTGTGGGGCACAATTCGATGGCGCGGAGCAGTTCCCGCACGAGATGCGGCGCTTGGCGTCCTTCGCGTTTAAGGGATAGCGTAAATGTTGGTGTGTTCTTTCGCTCGTAGATGCCGTTGAGTCGGAAGATCGTCGTGACGTTCACCGACTTCAAGCTGGAGGAGACGCCGGACTGCCTCGGCGGAGACTACCTGGCCATCACGGACGAGGAGGCGGACGATGTTCACGTCCACTGCGGCCAAAACGTGCCGGGGATGATGGAGTCAGTGGGGAGCACCCTCCTCGTCCGATTCGAGTCCGACGCGGACGACGAGGAAGGATTCGGGTTCCAGATGACTTATGTGACGACGTCGAGGTGCGAGGAGGGGTGGCTGGGCCACGGGGATTACTGCTATTACTTTTCCGAGGTGGAGATGGGGTTTAACGAGGCGAGGGATGATTGCTTGGCGAAGGGGGCTGACCTGGCCAGTGTGCACAGTCGCGATGAGCAGGTTTTCCTTCAGGATCACGTGAGAACAGGGACCATGTGGATCGGTGCTGTCACTATCGGAGAAGGGTTAGTTGCCGATCCTTTCAACTTTGACTTCCTCGATGGGTCGGCTGAAGACTATCAAAACGTTTATAAATTCGAAGTGCACCATACTTTCGAGAATCTTGGTGTTGGAATGATAATGGCTCCAGACTTATGGAAAAATCGCAATTGTATGGAAACGAGGCCGGTTCTCTGCACATCGACCGAGAACCATGGAAGTGATTGGTTGCAAATTGGTCTTCTCTACTATCACGCGTCGGACGCAAGATTGACATTTGACGACAGTCGGGATTACTGCGTGTCCTTCCCCAATTCTGACGTCCTCATCATCGGAGATAGCGAAGAGAAAGCAAAAAATGCTTCCTGGTTTTTCGAGTCCGAGGACATCCATCCCCTCCCGAAGAGCAGCGAGTATTGGATCGGCCTGGTCCGTGGCGAAGGCGGAATCTGGTCGTGGATCGACGGGTCTCCCGTCTCGCTGGATCGATGGGAGCAGGGATTCCCCACCTCCGAGGGGGGTGGGTGCGGCGTCATGGCGACCTCCTCGTGGACGGACGACGATGATACCACCCATTCCTACGTTTGCAAGGCGGGGCCAAAGTGACTTCTCCGTGCAGACGATTTTATCGATACTCCTCAGCCGGTCACGATCCGCTTCGAAGATGCTCATTTGACCGAGTAGCCAAATTTTAGGTCTTTGAAATGTGTAGTGTTTCCAGTGAAGCCTTTCTCAAGCAGTATTGGCGCCTCTTCATCCGAGAATGCAGAAACCGTAAATAAAATAATTGAAACAAATTAAAAAAACACAATCCTCGCGTTTTCTTTTCTTCACTTACTCAAGAATTCGGGGCTTCATTAAGTCGACTCTCCCTCTCTCTCTCTCCCTGCAGATTTCCCCTTCCCAGGAAAGGAATGTTAACTTTCAGCTTCGTCAGGAGTAGTGAGCTTTTCTCGGAATTTCTTCACACCAACGAATAACGAACACCAGACTTTTACCACATACACTTCGCTGCTTGATGACATTAACCGGGTTCAATAAGAAAAGGAGAAACAGTAAATGACATTTAAAAAAAAGAACTCCATGATTGAATTGTTCATTTATTAATTCCTCATGGTACATTGATGAACCATTTGGGCATTAAATCAATTTTCCCAAGCTTATTCGGTTTCAGCATTTTTTTTATTATTTGCTCCTAGGACTTCTATCACAAATTCATGACTAAATCCAGCATTTCTCTGCGATATCGAAGGAAAATCGCGAAGATACCGCGGAACTGACACGCAGTACCAAAGCTCACTCCGTAAGACACGCGAGGATCACTAACTCGTAAGAATCGCATTTTTTTGCGTGGGACGTTCGAAAGAGGGCGAGGAATGGCTACCGTTTATTCCCCCTTTACCCTTTATGCCAGAAAAAGGACATTACTTATGGGATGCCCTGATGAAAATAACACATTATTAAAAAAGGTTGCTTACTTAGGAATAACATCTTAAGGGTTCAGCGATGTCCTCAAATCTATGATGTTTTAATGTATACAGAATTTTCATTGAAAAACATGAGTTTAAATATCTAAACAAAAACATTCGCTTAAAAGTGTGAAGTAACCTTTGGGCCACCCTGTATACCTTGACATAAGATGTCGGCAATCAATCATGTCCGAGGGATCACGGATCGACAAGGCAGATCGGGGGAAGAAGTGCAGGAGGAACAAAGTAATCCTCGATCATGATCAAGAAAAAAACTTAAATGAAAAAAAACTAAAAAGCTTAAATAGCAAAGTGTGGTTTCGACCCGAGAACCTCTGGGCTATGGGCCCAGCACGCTTCCACTGCGCCAACTCTGCTCCTTCGTGTGATGGGAAAAAAGAGGTGAACAAAGTGTTCGCAAGGAAACTCAAGGAAAAAAAAATGGGATCAGGAAGGAGAGGCCAAGAATATGCATAATCCACGAGACACCATAGCAGAACTTGCGGTAGTTCCTTACCTCTGTGGCGTCGCTCACACCGCTTGCGGATTAATAAATGACGCCTCTGTAATATTGTCTCTAAATCGGTCAAAGCTAAATATGCACTTTTAGAAAAGAGTGAGCAATTTTCGAGAAAAGCAGCAAAACTGAAGTTAGCGATTTTACTCCCTAAAAATGAGGTAGTACAATCGATAACTGTTATGAGCAGAATCCATAACTTGTTTATGAGCCCAAAAGGAAGGAAGAGAGAACTATTCAAATTAGTAGAAAAAGATAGTGTTTATTCTCAGGAAAGAGAGAGGTGAGCAACATTATTTCCTTGTCTTTAGGGAGTAAAATCGCTAAGTCTAATTTCGCTCCCTTTCTCGGAAATCGCTCACTCTTTTTCTGAGAGACAGCGGCGGTTAGCATCGAATTGGATCCGCCTTCACGACAACGCACCAGGGCACAATTCGCTGATGGAGTTTTGTTACTTGGCATACACTGGCGCACTTGTAGTGCCACATCCTCCTCCGTGGCGGCATTGAATTCGTTTGTTTTTTATGGTTTCACGGTCTGCTTTCACGAACTTCACAGACGTTGGCAAAAGTGTGAGAGAATTTTAGGCCACTACTTTCAATATGACACACTAACAGTGCCGCAACTCTCACCGTTTGAACGCAATAAGCCCCGTCTCGAACCTATTTGAACCTTCATTGTATGCACGAAATTGAGGGAAGTCTCTTTGATCTTCACGGGCCATGCCTTTCTCTCCTCCTTGGCATCATGGAGTTTGAAAGTAAAGAGATGAGAATGGTCTGACACCCATTCTACTGGACACACTAAGTCCTATCCCGATTGATGGAGGCAGAGTTCTTTAGTGTCTTTGCCTTGTGTAGTTAGAAAGATAGAGTGGGATCTGCAGAGGAGCAGGAGTTCTATAATAAAAAATGCATGTAGCAGAGCATGGTTTCGATCGATGGACCTCCGGGTTAAGGGCCCAGCACTCTTCCACTGCGCCACTCTGCTTCCTACCTGCAATTTAGTGGAAGGTAGGGTAGGAGAAGGGAGGTAGATTACTGAAACTTCTTCGCCTGTTCCAGTGGGGCCCCGCAGCTTGTGAAGCGAACTCGACAGGACCTCTCGACAGCACATTCCTATAGGAATCTTATGGTGTCCCTATAGGAACCCAGCAGGTTCCATAGGAAACCTATAATAAACCTATACATTCCTATAGGATTCCTACATATTCCTATCGGAACCCTTTAGGTCCTATGGGGACCCTATAGGATTCTTACATGGATTCCTATTGAAATGTACAGGAATTTATAGAATTCTTAAAGAGTCATAAAGGAAAATTCTACAGGTTATTGAAATGCGAAAAACCTGTTAGATTCCCATAATAATCCTTTAGGAAACTTATTGGAAAACTTTATCCATGTCAATCTCATTTACAGACCCGTGTCAACGTCATTTTGATAACCTCTCAGACTCGCAATGGAAAATCCAAAAGGAAAATCCAAAGGAAAATCGTCCTATGTAAGTGAGCACAACTGGTGGGAACGTTATCGTATCGCATCCATTGCATAAGTACATACTTTTTTAATCTTATCTCAGTAACAAGTGTATATTTCAGTGAGGAGTGCCAACCGCCGAAAACAGTGCAAAGGGATACTTTACATCGGTGAAGTTCTTTCCAATAGCTGATTTAAAAGAAGACGGTAAGTTTATTGCCTCCTTTGAAGTCGTTAGAGTTAAGTTCAAGAAAGTGTCAAGTTCAACAGGCGTTCCGAAGTCACAAATTATCACAACCTTCGATTCAAAGCCTTGCTTGAAAACATTCTTGCCCTTGATGGTTGTATGGGTATTGATTAAGTTTAGAAACGTTCAAAACTAGTTGATTCTGCTTGTACGAAATTCATCTATAGTCTACAGTATATTGACAGAAAAACAATGAAATCAAGTGTGGTTGCTGGAGCACTGGAGCAGAGAAAGAGGATCGTCATCGAGAAGGATTTGGACGATCATGCTGGACTGGCGTCGGGCATTGCCGAGTATTTTAGCATTGAACCAAGCTGGTGCGACGTGATTATTCTCATCCATGATACCAAGTTCTATTCCTACAAGGGGATCCTGGCTGCGGTATCCCCATACTTCCGACAATTGTTCTCTTTCGATGTCAAAGATCCTTCCCAGAGAGAGATCAGGTTGGAAGGCTTCAACAAAACGAGTTTTAAGGTCATTTGGAATTACATCCACGGGACGAGAATGGAATTAGACGGGGAAGAAGAAGTTCTAACCGCACTCCAAGATGCGCACACGCTTGGGTTAAACCGCCTCTGCAACAAGATGGGTAAGGCATTTGCACTCTTTCTGAGACCGGAAAACGCCTTTCATATCCTTGCCATAGCCGAACAATATGACACACAAGATTTACTGGAAGCTGCAACTCGATACATTTCCTCCAGAATCAGCCACGTCATGCACAAGGACGACTTTCTCGATATCTCCTTCGAAACTTTGATCGCCTTCTTGGATCGAGATGATTTGGAGGTCTCTTCCGAGAAGGAGGTTTATGAGGGGATGAAGAGATGGTTGGATCGAGATGAAAGTCGGAGGCGTCATTTGCCGGAACTGCTGGACAAAATTCGTCTTCCTCTTCTTTCTTACGATTACCTCAAGACGGAGGTCGTCAAGGATCCTTGGATTTCGGAAAATTCGAAATGCCTTCACATTTGTATGGATGCGAGGGACTATCATGTGCCGGAGCTTCGACATACAGTTCCAAAAGAGAAATCTCGGCACCGTGGAATCCTTTCAAGCAAAATTTGGTGCATGGGAGTCAAGGATAATGAAAGAAGAATCTATCGCATCGATCCGAATGATTGGGCGATGGAAAACATAGCGCCTTATCCATCGCTGGCTGACAAAAGTTCAATTGTACGTCCGGGAATACATGTCCACAGCATGATGCACCGCAGGGGAGGTGGACCAATTTTCCAGGAGGGGCAAGATTGCATGAGAGGCTTAATTTGCTTGCAAAGGAAACTCTACTTGACTGGGTTTGGTGAAACGAGGGTCTTTCATCTGGAGAAGGGAGAATGGGAGGAAGGACCAAAACCTCCCGAGTACATGCAATGGACATCCACTGCGGCAAACTCTGCATCCATTTTCTGCTGTGGATATCACGATCAGGAAGGAAGAGCTCGGGAAGGAGTCTTCCAGTTTGATGTTGAATCACGGGACTGGACCCGGTTGCAAGACATGAAGTTTGCTAGATACGGTGCAGGAGCGTTCTATGAGAATTCTTGCCTTCACGTTATTGGAGGAAATCCACCTTTTGCGACCAAGTATGAGAGACTTGATCTCCGCACATCTAAATGGGAAGAGTTGGCTGCCCTACCCCAAGGTTCACTGCACCCTGCAGTAACATGCCAAGAAGCAGGGGTGATTATATTTGCTGGGGGATTTGCTTCAAATATGGGAACTGTCAAAAGAGAGGTGTACGGCTACGATCCAAGGCAGAACGTATGGCAGGAGAAGCCCAGTATGGTGGAAGGACGCCAGAGACATGGTTTGATACCTCTGGATGGGAAAATCTATGCCGTTGGAGGGCACCAAAATCCCTCGATCGAAGTCTTCGACGGAGCACGATGGGAAGTTTCGAAAAGACTTGACTTATACCACTGTGAGAGAGCCTGCCGAATGCTACTCTGACATTTTCTTATAATCATGGCTGGCGGGAAATCGCTCTTCAATGCTGCATTCCGACTTTCCAATCTTGACATGACGTCTTCCAATGTTCCCATTGAAGTTAATTTTTAAATCAGACAAAAAATATGCAAATTTCGACTCATAGAAGTAATGATTTCATCCGAACTCTGAAGGATTAATGGCGAATCCAAGGAGCAAAACTGGCTGAGGAGTCCGCCGCTTCTTCAACCATTTTAAGTGAAAATACATCAATCATCATCACCCTCATGGAGTCAACAGGTAACTGACGAGGCAAGTAGAGGATCCTTTTTTTTACCTCATCGAAATATCACTGGTGGTGCCATAGGTGCCAGTCTAGTCTAGTCCGGTGTCATCCAAGATCAGTCAAACATCAGAAAAGTTGACAACGACTGCACGTATATCTAGTTCTGAAATCCAAAACCAAGCAATAAAACAGATATCATTTCATGAAATTGTTATATGTTTGAGTTGATCACATGA